TTTTTGAGACCTGTCCCTTGATACGATGACATGGGTTCTTGTCTCGACCGCTGGTTTAAGGGAGCGAAGGCTCAGATACTAGCTTTAAGTTTGTCCTACGTGGGCAAATTATCTCGAGCAATAAATAAATATGGAGTTAATTTTAATTACAAGAAAACTGAAATAATCAAACGTGAACGCCCTCTGAACGCAACTCGTGTATTCATATGCAAGATTTACATTTTGATATTTCTGAAATGTTATAGAGTATCGTATTTTAAGTAAAAAATAGTTTTGTGAGTTTGACAATTATGCATTGAGAGGTTTCCGACCTCCTTAATACTCTCGGAAACCGAGGGATAACGACTCTTGAGTGACGGAATAATCAACAAAGGACCATGATCTTCGGTGTTACGACATCCGAACGGATGGCCAAGTCGGAAACGTCCGTCGATTTTCGAGGATATGAGGAGAGCGTTTAGGGAGTGTTTAATCACCCATTGATTATGATTGAACGTATTTTGCGTGGATCATGGCATTAAAAATTGTCTTTATGTACCGTTGTGTCTTAAAATAGTCTTTTGGAAAACCCGTTGGAATTCAGGGTTCTCAAATTATTAATGGTTTCAATATTCAAATCAGATTTAACCGCTTGATCGTGAATAAGAAAGTGTTTGTCTCCTTGTTTCATGATCCATCAAATCGCTTTGGCCGAATGTAGATCGATTTGATTTCGTGGCTTCGTGGTATCTTCGTGCGCGACCACGTGGGAGACGGCGTGACCTAGTGGTTAGGGCGCTGGATTTGTAATGCGGAGGTCCCGAGTTCAAATCCTCTCTGCCACTAGATGAATTTGTGTTTGGTGGTCCCAGATTCAACTCCTCCACGCTTTGTAAATAGCACACTTGTCAGCCTCCTGCAAGTTGGGATTTTTAACAAGTTTCTGTTTAATTTACAATATTTTTTTGCTTATTTCAGTGTCCACAATCAATACAGCAGTGCTAAACACTTTGAAACTTAAATAAAGTGATTTATTTCACGTGAGTCTAACACTTGTGGCAACGCCACGGCTCCATCTCCCGTTTTCCCGCGCTTTTAAAGTCAACATAACGTAATGCGGTCAAAAGCAAGATGATAAATGCACCAGTATATCTAGAAACTAACGCCAAGGGAATTACGAGGCAATCAGTGGCCTCTGAAGTAATACTTTGCCTGTTATGTAAATGATGCAATGAAAACTTAAATGCGTTGATTTGATACGTTACAAAACTTATTATTAATTCCTTGCTATGCGCGAGAAATTCACACATTTGATAATGAAATTCAAACTTAACGACGCAGTTTCCTTTGTCCATGCGCACCTRAGCCAAATTTCATTTTCAAATTTCTCAACCGACGTTTAGTTTGAGCTACATCCACTTCGCGTCAGGATTGCTGACTTTTAGCAATGCGAGCGAAGATTTAAAAGGATACAACGAGTTTTGTTTAAACATTGAGCTTTTC